GAGGATCCGCGGCGAGATTCGCGTTTCTCGAGCGTCCGTTGAACTCTTTGATACATCAACGTCCGTCAATCGCGAAGAAGCGGAAGAGATGTCCGCCTTGGCTCGGCATCCTGCGAAACCGGAGGTCTTCGACCGTCAAAGTAGACGAGGTGAACGCGGTGCGCGCGAAAACCGGTGATTCGCACGTCCCTCGAATGAACGAATCGCGCAAGTCGCTGGCTTCTTATTCCACGGTGGTCCTCGCACGGAATCCTGAGTTCAATGCCTCTTTGATGAGCCTTCCCTTCTCCTTCGGCGCAACAACCATCGACTCTGCGGCCATCGTCGCGAACAGTCCACCTTTTTCCCCTACCCATCCCTCCCCATACGATTTATCTTGATCCATCGACGAATCGACCGATCAAAAGCTGTCGATTCGCGTCGAATTCATCGTCTGACCGATGATCGTTTACGATCGACCGGCCGACCCACTACGACACACGAAAATCACGAATACGCGTGAACTGTTGCTCCTCCGTCCTCTTCTTCTTCTTCATTTTCTTCGTCGTCCTCATCTCGATAGAGAATCACGCGTGCTCGTAGGTGAAACTGCGTCGAATAACTTCCCGTTGATAATCATCGTAAGAGAAGGTGGGGCAAATTTATGTGCGTCGACTCGAACTAGCTGCGTGCAGGTGGAAAATCAGCCAGCCTCGACGATAGCGTGCATTATATAACAGCATGGCTATTTTCAAGTGTCGAGGAAATTTACACGGAAACTATTTTTGTCATTCGATACTGAATGACCAACGTTAATGATCGTATCGTGTTCTTTCTCATATTCTCATGTTATTTATTTCAAAAAATATTAGAGTTGAAGCTGGATTGAGAAAATTAATGAGTACGTCATTAAGACACTTTGAACTTTATAATAGCTGTCATGTGTATCTTCATCTTTAAAATCTTGTAGGAACTTTCCTATATTTCTATCTTTCAAATTTTCCCTGTCAAAGATAATTTATGACATTATGTAATTATAGCTACATACATCATCTCCTAATTACCTTTTTTACATTACGAACAACATTATTTAGTGATATTCAACCAATTTAGAAAATGTCAAATTACACGTGACAGCAAGACAGATAGTGATCAACCGAATCTCATCTAAAGGTTATCAAACTACGTATCAAGAATAGTCAGCGACTATCAAACTGTCGAATCTAAAAAACTATACTTTCACGATATAAAATTAATTACCACTTAGAAGACATAATGAATTTACAAACGTAATCTTCCTGTTGGAAAGACTTCGTGATACAACATGATTAACACATATCGATGCGTTAACACGGTAAGAGACAAGAAATTAATATTAATCGAGCATCAAGCGTTAAGTGAAAAGTAATTACCAGTAAATCTTCTTTAACTGAGACGACTTAATTCAAGCGGACTTTCTCTTTCGTCTGAGATGTTCGACGTGCACAACTTTAGCTCGTAACATCCTGCAGATAACAATCGGAAAGAGGAAGAGAGAGAAAGGAAGAGAATTTATGCGGAGGCAGGTACGAAGTGCGTTCAAGTGGGTGGAAAATCAGGACCAGTGGGTGGTGCAACCGATAACTCACGTCTGATGGCAGGGTCCGAGCGGGGACTCGGCCCTTCGATTTTTTCGGAGAACCAAACGTGAGAATTAACTGATAAAGGCGATACGATAGCAGCCGATTTATGACTAATTTGTACGAATAGAAGTTCTTAATTTTGCGCCCTGCAACCTGCTAACATCGGATGTATACGTAACACATAATAACGATATAACTGAGCAACTTTATAAAAATTATCTTGAGAGAAAAATTCAATATTCCTTATAATTTTTACCCTTTATAACATAAACAGTGAGTGCCGTACGGGTAATAAGAAACTAAGTTCTTATCTTACAACGTTACGCGGTCATTGAACTGCGAGCCGAACGTGACAAACGCGAGTTACATACGAGATAAAGTTTGGTTACGATATTAAATTTAATCTGTAAGATTGAAAATTGCTTGACGATAATTACGCATGCTAGTTTAATATTTTTTAGATATTACGCTATTTCAGTTATACGTAAGTTAAAGAATATAATCGTTAAAAGACAAAACTCCTACGAACGGTAAGAAACATAATCCCATAATATTTTTAATCAGATACAACATTACATGTTTTGGAAATCTTACATAATTTCTGACGACATCCATATAACAAAAATGATTAGAATTGAAAATCAGAAACGATTCTCCTTACGAAGCAACCTTGACGAGCATGAGGATAAAACGTTGCATCGATTAAACTAGAAGAATTAAACTCATTTCGAATCAGACTTCGGCGAACAACGCTTAGGCGTAATTTTCCAAGAATCATCGGTTCGAAAGAAATCGATGCGACCCAGTGATCGTATCGCGCGTAAAAGCGCGAGTGAATTTGCAATGAAAATACATCGACCCGAAGATTTAACACTAGTGTAAACGCGATCTCGAGGCCACAGGTTACGACGCCCTCACCGCCGACGCCTCGCAACCCCTCGGCGTTCATTCGCGTTCCATTTCACGAAGGCTCAAAACAACGCCTCGAACAGCTGTTTGAAGCTTAAAGGCAAGGTCGCAGCCTTTACGTCTGCGTACGCAATGCCGCCCGTTTCAACGCGTCGCTGAACGCACGTGTGTATACGTACGCATATGCGCAAGCGCGCGTGCGTGCGTGCGTGCGCAGATTCGCTACTGTGTGTTAGCGCGCGCATTTGTACACGCTCACGTGCGAACACGCGAGTACGTGACACGCCGACGAGTGCAGTGCACTCGATGACAGTATGTGGTATCGCAGCCGATACATACACATTTCTCGTCTTATGTGCAAACACCAGATGAAAATAAAACGCAGGAAAAAGTAGAAACGTTGAATAACTGAGATCGAGGATAGGAGGATAGGATCAATAGATTCGATCGAGGATAATGGAGGTAACGTATTATATATTTAATTTGATAAAATACTATTTAATAATTTACTTAATCCTATCGATCTCTTCGAAATGGCTATAATATTCTAAAAGATATTAAATATGTATCTAGTTTTTAAATATATGATTTCAATACTTAATACAATTTCATTAACTTTTGTATAATCCACGTTTCTGATCAGCGAGATATTCTAAGAAAGAAAAGATGTTTAATGAAACATAAACGTGATAAAGAAGCAACGAAAATAGCACGATATTGTACGCGATTTTTCATCATCGATATCTTCCAGAGCACCGAGGAAGATTAAATGACATTTCGCTGCATTTAATTATACGTCGATCTAATCGCCAATTATCGGTGGTATTACATAAGTAAGAAGCCATTTAAACCTTTTAATTTTTGTGAGATTATTTAAATCTTCGAATTTTCGTAAAGTCAACGACACCGTCAACGACTTTAACGCGCATATTGAATTTATCGTTAAATCTAAAAGTCTGACGATAAATTGTGTTCTGTTTGAATCTTTAGACGGAAAAGTCAAGTCGTTTCGCGTGTATACACAGATGACGTTCGCCACTGATCGACCCACGTGTGCGCGCGCACATGCGCGTTACGCACACGCACTCATGCAGCATGCAGTCCGTAGTGTGCGTACACGGACACGTTTTACTGTCGCAGGGAGAGCCACCGCGCGCCGTACCACCGCACATAACTATAGTTATGCAATCCACCAACTCGTATTCATGGTCAAGGTCTGCGTCCTTACCTTACCGCTAGATACGTGTACGTGCACACACCAGTGCGACGGCTGTGCAAGGAGTTCACGTACGCGGAAAAGAGGGGCGAGGTTGCCGGTGAAAGAATAAGGGCCCGAACGTTATCGAATTCAGACAGAAGCGACGAATAAAGTTGAGCGTCGCTAATAGACCGGTATGCGAAACCGGATCGTCCGGAAACGCTAATAGAGTGGGCGTGATAAAGATAAAAAAAATCTGATTCCGTTCGCTCGTTTCGGGCAAAAGATACGAGTTTCCAGATCGATCTACTCTCGCTATAGTCACTTTTCTTTGATCTTCGCTTCGGGTCTACCGATAAACGCACGTGCAGTTGCACTTACACGCTGCTTGGGTATGGAATTTGCATAAGTGCAAAAATTATTCATAATACAAACGAGTTCTTTTCTCCAAACGAGAAAATAAGTACATATTGCCGCGTAGATTTGACGAAGTTATGTGAGTCTTTAACGAGCTTTCTCCGCGCACGAAAATAACAAGCATTATTTTCCTCGGCCGCTTATTTATGTAGAACATTCCGAATGGAAAATATGTAGAGCGAAACGCTGTGGTAATAAAGTTTGCTAAGAGAACACTGGTTGATCGACGATAGACCGAACAACGAAAAGCACGGCCGGTGGTAGCGTGCGACTGCCAGCCAAGGAAGAAAAGGATGCGTAGAGGAAACGTGGTTTCTTTTACCTTTTCATCGGAGTGGCTGAACGCGTACACGACCGCTAGTGTTGGTGCGCGTGCGCATGTGC